ATATATTTTGCCCAAAAACAGGGACTTCAACCCTGGACTCTCAGATTAAAAGTCTGATACTCTACCTGATAGTGAGCTATCTAGATGTTTTACAGGAAAACAGGTTTTACTGTATATATATATGTAATAGTTTTGAAAAGTAATTAGAAATATACTTCGCCCAAAAACAGGGACTGTAACCCTGGACTATCAGATTAAAAGTCTGATGCTCTACCAAATACTGAATTATCTAAACGTTTTACAGAAAAACAGGTTTTACTGTATATATATGTAATAGTTTTGAAAATTAATTAAGAATATATTTCGCCCAAAAACAGGGACTTTAACCCTGGACTCTCAGATTAAAAGTCTAATGCTCTACCAGATACTGAGTTATCTAAACGTTTTACAGAAAAAAGGTTTACTGTATATGTATGTAATAGTTTTGTAAATTGATTGATGTTGAATAAATTTTTATTTTTTTTGTTTTTTTAAAAACATATGTATATTTGAACAGTGAAGGAAATGATAACACGACTAGATGATACTTGCCATAATTAGGCATAATAACTCTATTTATGTATAACTACTGTCTCTTTTTATTTTGATACACCCTTTTTACTTAATCATTATTCTCACATTAAAAAAAAAGGAACTTCAATTAAATCTGACAACGCAACAACGACATTTTTGTTTGTTTGTTTGACGGTAAAAATTATGATTAAATTAAAAATTTCTTGTTTTATGTTAATCACAATTTTTATACAAATACATAAAACGCTTTGTGTGTAAACAATATTATTTTGGAAGCTGTTAAAAAAAAAAAAAAAAAGAGAGAGACTGAGAAAGAGAGAGAATGTATGTGTGTGTGTGTGTGGAAACAAATATTCGTCGTTTTCACGTTGTTATTATTATTATTATTATTTCAAATAGAGTGACACAAAATAATTTATCTTCTGTATAAACGATGACAACATTTAAATTTATCCTATACCTTAAAATGTATAATGTAAAAATTGTCGAAATTTGTTCAAATTAAATTACAATATAAATTGATTATAAATTTATAAGAGAGGGGGAAAAAAACATTGAAGAAAAAAACCCCTCAAAAAGAAAAAAAAAAAAAGAAAAAAAATAAATAAAACGCGAAATAATAAAAGAAATCAAAATAAATTCGACGAAACGATAATTCAATCGTTACGATGAATAAAACTAATGTGTAAACTAATTTAACACATAATGATCGAATCAAATCAAATCAAATCAAATCAAATACAAAAAAGAAAAAAATATTTACAATTATCATAATAGTACCACACATCAATACAAAAAAAAAAAAGAAGAAAAAGAAAAAATTCAAAATATACAATTTTGTAAATTGTTTCGCAAAAAATTTGATGAGAAAAATAAATCATCTATCGGCGGACATATTGAAATTTTATACAGTTCTGTTTGTGTTCTGTCTCTTTCTTTTTCTCTCTTTGAGAAAATGTGTATATTATTAGTGATGTGTGTGGGTTTTTGAAATTTTATACAGTTTTGTCTGTGTTCTGTCTCTTTCTTTTTCTCTTTTTGAAAAATGTGTATATTATTAATGATGTGTGTGTGGATTTTTGCGCGCGCGTCTTCAGATAATTAGAAAATCAAAAGAGAACCAACTAACACGACAATATATAATGTGTGTATATTTTTAGGCGCCTGAGAAAAGAAAAAGAAAAAGAAAAAAAAGAAAAGAAAAGAAAAGAAAATCCTCAAGGCCAAGGCGCGAAGGTACACAATGATAATTTGTTATTTTCGTGCATACTTAATAATAATATTTTGTCTACTATTTATTTAACACTTTGACTGCCATATTGGTCTCTCCTGAGACGCCACTGATGGGTGGATAGTAGCCATTGGTGATCGGAACGCGTATGAAATTTGTACAATTGTAAAAAAAAAAAAAAACCTAAATGAAAATTACAAATTACTGTATTTCAATATTACCCGATAAAATGAACGATACTTAGAAATAAAAAGTATCCTATTGAAGAACAATTACAATGTTATTATTATTATTATTATTATTATTATTTTGTCAATATATTTTTTGAATAATAAAAATATAATGTGTCGTCATGGCGTCGTCTCAGGCAAAACAATTTCGCCGTGGCAATCAAAGAATTAATTCAATTTTATTCTCGCAATTATTCAACTTTTAACCCAAATTTATCAAATAATTTCCGCTAGAAGTCAGACAGACAGACAAACAGACAGACAATTTTATTTAAAAAAAAACAAAAAAAAATATTAAATCGAAATTTTATAATACATTTATCTTATTATTATAAAAAGATGAAATATTGCAATTATTTTTCGTTGCATATAATTAACGAATTGATTTGTTGTTTCGAAAACTATACAAAGTTTTATAAATATATGTATATATATATATATTATTAAAATACAAATAATTAATATACATATACATATATATATATTTGTATTTACGAATTGATTTTTATATTCGAAAACATAACCTTAAAGTATAAAAAGGGTACCAAGAGTAAAAAGAGACCTATGACATGATTTTGAAATATTATAACGATATATATATATATATATATATATATATATATATATATATATATATATCATCACTCGTTAAGAAAATTTGTAGACTTCGAGCGGAAATGGTTAAGAGTTTTTTTTTTTTTCACGCATACATATACAGGATAAAGAAGATATACACAAAATTCATACATCATCACTTTCATACATCGATCATCTTCCATCATAATTTTTCTCTTC